CCTACCATTTGCTTATGCAGACAAGACTGGCATGTAGAAGTACCCATGAAAACTCAAATACAGTTTCATAAGCTTATTATGTAACCCTCAGTTGATTAAAAAGTTAGGTTTTTTAGGTGCTTATAAAGCTTATAATATATGTACAATTTAAATTACATAAGGTAAATACATGTAAGATTTTTATGTTGTGGGTGTCCTGAGCAGAACAAGAACATTTTTTTTGTTCAGCACTTGGTACTGCTTGTATCTCCATAGTAGTTCTTCATTGTAGGCTTCATTCCTATAGTCCTAAAAAGTCTGTACAAGAGCTTCAACTAAATCTGCAACTAAACCCAAATCATACACACTTTAACACATGAAAACATGTACAAACACATTCTTTATTTATGTGTAAAATATATGCATCAAATGAAGTTTTCTGTACACTTTTTAAAGACCATTACACTATAAAATCAGGGTAATCATAATCTGGTTGGTCAGAATTACTTGGTTGTATGTGGTTGAATGAGGGGTGGTTGTGCTGTTAAAATTCATCTTTATGGGACCAACAGCTGTAGAAAAATGGTTCTGTGATCAAGTTCTGCCAGATAATGTGTAGTTACTACATATAACTATTAATAACATGTAAAAACACATTATTTGCTTCTAAAAGCAAAGGTCTATGTGACGATAATACGAAATCTTTGAATTGCAACAAAATCAGTGTAAACATTTTGTGGTTGATCAGAACTACCTCTTTGTCTGTGGCTGTATGGAGGGTGTTTGTGCTGTGGAAACAACAGTTGTAGAGAAATGGCTCTACAAAAAATTTCTGCCAAAAGAAGAATAGTAGTTACTGCATGTAACTCTCTTTCTATGTGTAGTTGTGTGCCAGGCACACAACCAGCACACCAAACATGGTAAACATACTTGCTCCTCACCAGCATGTACAGGAGCATGTTAGCATGCTCTTGTTTAGTATTTAAGTTGAAAAACACTCCTTACCAGTACACTGGATCTGTAGCCAGATCGAAAACCTTTCAACTGGAGGCAGGAAGTGTTCCCTGCTTACAGACGTTGCCACAGGAGCATATGAGAGGCCTGATAGGAGCCTCTATCTACCATGTCACTTCCTCTGTTCCTGGTTCAGCAATGAGGAACAATGAGGTAGCCATTTTACACACTCACCCGGATTGTACATCTGGTGTGTGTGTGTGGGCATGCGTGTGTGTGTGTGTGTGTGTGTATGTGTGTGTGCACGTGCAAGAGGGTTGGGGTTATTTCTGGATGATTAGCTTTATCTTGCACATTCACAATGTATGCTCTGCCAGATGGTCAGAGAACATAGAGCTGCTAATGGTATCACTTGATCATGTCTTTGTTCCATTATAAATCAGTATATTAATGATGAATATAAATGCTATACACTAAGCATTTGATTGATCCTCTTGTGGTGCATAAAGCCATTTTGTAAAAGCGGAGCAAACACTTAAAGGACAATGTAGATTTAGCCATGCGTGCCTGAGTGTTAGTCTGTGGGAGACCTCTCACAGGGAATCACCCGCCATTTAAAAACATTTACTTGAATCTAGTTGGAATGACTCTCCATGATTGCATTTTTTTTTAACATTATATTGGAAATAAGCATGCTGCAGAATGTGTGGGAATAGTTCAATTGCCTGCACATGTGAGACAGCACTCAAAATGCTTTTATTTTAATTTTCATCGTAAACAAGTGGGTATGAGTTCAAATCAATGAATCTGAGCTATCAAATTACACACACACACAGACACACACACACACGCACACAATGGTAAATGAGAGGATGTGTGTCTCTAGTGCTCCCATGTGGTGAAATACATGTCTTGCAGCACTTTGTAAGCGTCAATGATAGAAAGACGACAGTTCTCATCCAGATTCTGAGATATCCTGCCTCCACCTTCATAACCCTAATACATCAGAAGTTAATGGGCCTTTGTTTTTACCACACAGCACTGAAAAATTATTTTGGCGTGCTACTGTGAATTATACCTGTCCACACAAGGAACAGGTAGCAAGAAAGAAAATGTTCTATAAATCAGGCTGTGAATGATATATGAACAACATCCTCTGTAAACACCTTCAGAATATAGACAGGAATAAAGCTGGGACCTGGTAAGTGGTACTAAAATGAAGATTTTGACAGGGATTAGGTGAAAAATATCATTTTGCTAAATTCCCTTCGTTTCTATTTGGAAACCACTATTTACAGGTAAAAATTGTAACGAATAGATATCACTGTGAAACCTCCCCTGTTAATTACTTACATTTGTGTATAGTACAACATGCACAGTACACATAACATTAATCGTGTATCACCACTGTACTCTGAATTGGCCACCAGGCGTCAGAGCGACCACAGAGCCACCACACCAGCCTCCACCAGTGGTAAATGTCTTGTCCCACAATGCAAGACTTCATTCTGTCAGTCTGCTCTGTGTGTAAAGGGGGCAAAACTTTGGAACTGTCTACACTAATCTAAAACTAGAGAGTAACAGTAATGTTTTTAACAAAGGACTCAAACAATGGCTAAAATCAAAACAACAGTGCTCACATGAATAGTTTTAACCGGTTGATTGCTTGACCATGTTGCCTTTGCTTTGTAACTTATATATGTTTAACCTGAAAAACTGCCTCTCTTTTACTGTTGTAATGTTATTGTACACTGTGTTTTTTAAAGAAAACTTTTATTACTTTAATCATTTCAAAAGCCTCCTGTGGACAAGTGTTGTGAATTAGCACATGTGTTAAAACACTCAAACAATGCATCTGGTCTGTCCAATGTAATTGTGATGTCCACATCAAATAAACAATGAAAAAAAATAAAATAAAAAATAACCACAAAGTGATGTGTATTTTGAATTTTTTTTCTTTTGTTTGTTTGTTTTTTTTACTAGTCTGACAGACAACATGTTATAGAAGCAAAATGTTTGCATTTTGAACACCATTCAACATTTTAGATTTATGATACAACATGTCAGAATATCAAATATTAATAAAGACAATGATCATGATTGTGAATAATGTGGTTTTAGTTGAAATTTGAATAACTGTCTCCTGTAGTAAAGGAAAACTATCTAAGAATAAGTAAACCTATAGTGTGAGTCCTATGCTTTCCAGTTTGCATTAGTCGGGAGTTTAAAACTAAATGTTGACTAAGAAACTAGATAATCATTGTGTTGTTTTAAAATTTTGTGAGATGTGCCATCAGGCCCATATAATTTGTGGACTGGTCCCCACAGAGATCATTACTGTAAGTTAATATTAAGAAAAAAACTGGGATAGTTTGCTCCCCTACAAACTCTATATGGCTCAGTATAAGCTTGGCATTGGTGGACAAAATATTCAGATCCTTCAGTAAAATTAATATACATGCATATGTGTAAGCAGATTTGAAGTGTTGCAGATGGTCAAAGCGAAGTTAATTTTAGCTGCTTTATACACCATGAAGTGATTCAGTCTGTAACAAGTAGCATGGCGTGATAATAGTGAAGTACAAGTTCAAGGACCTACAATTGTTCTTAAGTACAGTGCTTCCACCCTTCTCATCGGCCATTACTACAGCAAAGGGATCATTTTGCATTAAACTCACAAATGCAAATTAAAAATATAGTCACAAGGAGCATTTTGCAGGTTCAGACCTGAAAAGGGGGGGGGCTCAAACCCCCAAATGAAATCACAAATGAACCCAACCATCCATCCATCCATCCATTATCTATACACCGCTTAATTCTCACTAGGGTTGTGGTGGGCTGGAGTCTGTCCCACCTGACTTAGGGCGAAGGCAGGGGACACCCTGGACAGGTCACCAGTCTATCACAGGGCTACACTTAGAGACAGACAACCAAGCACACTCACATTCACACCTACTGACAATTTAGAATCACCAGTTAATCTCAGCATGTTTGTGGACTGCGGGAGGAAGCCGGAGAACCCAGAGAGAACCCACGCTGCATGAGGAGAACATGCAAACTCCACGCAGAAAGATCCTGGGTGTTCTAACAGGGACGTGAACCAGGGATCTTTTAGCTGCGAAGCAACGGTGCTAACCACCAAGCAGCCCCAAGTGAAATTCAACAAAATGTCCATGTAGTAAGTAGCATCTGACCTTATATTCCATATGTATTTTTTGACCGAAGTTGTCCATATAAAGTAGAATTATATAGCTCAGTCCTACAATGCTATATACCAAATTCGTTGTTAATACAGAAAAATACACTAGATATGTTTCACTTTCCTGTAATCTACACAATCTACACTGTGCAAATTAGCAACAAATTTACCATGATGGTTTTTGATGTCCATGAGGACTTTTGTAGAGTAAATAGAAATGTAGAGGCGAGTCCATTTTAAAGCCAGTTGGATTTATGGTGAGAGGGACATGGCCTTTCTAAAGCAGCATTTCTGGCCCTAATTGCAGCTCTCCCGTTTGGCTGATTGGACTCATGTTTCATGGGAATCATTTGCACATCATTTCCAGTTACTGGCCTAAGTTTTGTGTTTCTAGCTCAATCCAGTTCCTGGTCAATTTGAGTCCCGCTGTAAGTAGGAAGGTAATAATAATAAACCTCACATCGCGGTTTAAAGTGAAATTCAGTCACCATAATGGTCATATGTAAAGAAACATTAAAGGTTTATAAAAAAGCTTTTTAATGTAGCAACGTCACCAGACCAAAAGTTTCATATTCTCTGCAACAAATCCTGATGATATGCAAAGTGACAAACTTCTCTACCTCTTTGAAAGCTGTAACCCATCAGCAGCATTGTCTCTAATTAATTGTCCCTGTACTGCAAAGCTAACCTGTTTCTCTTCGGTCTGCAGATCCTCTGTGCTCTTTATTTAGCCTTGTGGCTTGTGTTGGAATGGGGACGTGTGTGCAGATGGCTATGATTGTGCATACGATCAGTGTCAGTTTTCCAACAAGGGCTCTATATTTAGCTGATGAGGGGACTGGGTGACTCGGTCTGACTGCAACACATACAGACACACACTCCTCTGGACCACAACACTCCTTTACCTGCTCCCTGTTTTTGTACATCTAGTGTGTGTGTACCCTCGTACCACTTGTCTTTCTTACTAAAGATGAGGTGAGTTATAGATACTTTATTTTCTCAAATTACAGTACAAGTGTTACACAGTACTGGTGCTTATTTCCTCTTCTCTACAAATTTCACACTAACAGCATCATGGCAGACAGGTGGGACTGATAATGGTTTTGCTGCTTGGTTTTTCAGCTGTTATCTCTGGCCCGATGAGACTACAGCTCGGTGATTAGTGAAGTAGCAGTCAGAGGCACCCATGTGTCAACTGGAGGTGCCAGAGGCCAGACTGGGCCTGAACAGTCCTGACCCGCTGGTAAGAGAGGCTTTTCTGATGGCCCATGACTACATAGACTATGTAACCAGAGGGGGTGCTGATGGCACCATGGGTCCTGCCCCTACACCCTGCACAGCAGCCCTGCGCCACGCCGGCGATGAGCTCCTCACGCGCTTTCCCATCTTCTTCAGACGCTGGCCTCGCGTCTTTCAAGATGTGACAGAGAACACTGCCTGTCCCATGCTCATGAGCATCCTGGATGAGCACTTCTTTCCCCCCGTCCCTGCGGGACGACGCAGGGACCTGGCCTGGAGTGCAGTGCTGTCAGTGTATGTGCTGGCTGGCCAGATGGCTCTGCACTGCCATGAGAGGGGCATGTTGGTGGTCCTGCCCCAGCTGAAGGAATGTGTGGGGGCCTATGTGGACAGGGTCATCTGCCCTGAGATACGAGACAGGGGAGGATGGGTAAGTAATATCTACATCTACAGAGAGGGCCAGTTATCCTTTATATAATATCTAGCTACGACCAGCAGTCGCATGACAATAATCTTTTAGCTGAACTTGGTTGAACTGCAGGCCGTGTCTTTGTAGAATATATAGGAGACAAGTGTGGAACCAATTAAAATTTATCAGCAACATGTAGAATTGCCATTTTTCTTGAGTGTTGGTAATACTGGAAAAATGTTGACAAGTTGATTCCTAGTGTTTTTTATGATTTGTGGTACTATAAATACAGCACAGACAACAATTCTGAATTCTCTCTGCTTGCAGCCATGGTTGTGCTGTTTCCACTGAAGTGCAGGACTTTGTATTGCAGAGAAAAATAAGCCCACAGTGAGAAAAATGTGACATAAGTTAGGACTGTTCAGAAAGGACTTATTGTTTATTTAAACAACTTTAAATAACCAATTACCACCACAAATTACTGATTTTTAATAGCTCAAATCCATACAACCTTGCTCTGTCATGACTAACAACAAGAATTATTCAGTGATTTGTTATTGGATGTAATGAAAGTCTGAGACATGGAGGCAGACTCCAATAAAAAGACCACTTTAAACTGAAGCATGATGGTGCTACTTTATAGCGTCTTTCACTTTTACATGGCTCAAAGCTACTTCTTCTAAACTCCATGAAATGTTTGTTCACCTGTACGTGCATGTGTTTCCAGTCTGTGTAGTGCTCTCTGCGATTAGTGAATAGACTTTGTTATGTAAAATTAGAGAAATGACCTTTGAAACACCAGTCCTGCCCACTAGAACCAATTATTTTAGATAAATTCAGAGTTTGGAAAGCTAAGAGTTGCACACAGAATTCCATTTCACATATTTGCTCTGTTAGATCCCCTCAAATGTGGACATTTTGTTACTTCCCATGCAATGTTGTCAGAACTGGATTAACTTGCCAGGGCAGACCTGGGGCAGAATTTAGCTATGACACTCTACTAAAACCCCTTTCGTTCCATTTCTGTGCCTTGTGATTGCCCCCTTTGAGCACGGCACACACTGCAGCTTCATCATATTTACACAGGGAAAGAGTATGTGGTAATGTGATTAGGACATACAATATTTAGGAAATGCACTGTTCAAGCATATCATTAAGGATGGATAGGTAGGCTCCTGAGATTTAAGTTCATATTATGCTTAGTTATGCATAAATTGGAACCAACCTTTAAGTTTTACAAATAAACTAAATGCTGTTGAGACCCTTGTTCACTATTTGTAAATTGTCTGTCCAAATTGCCAACTTAACTGGTTGCTCATTCAGCTGTGCAACTTGTACATCAACATCCAATTTCAGACACGATGACACAAAATTTTGGTTGAGAGTAGCTTTTACAAGCCAAGTTGTGTCAGAAATGTTACATTCAGACTTGCCATTTCATCTTAAACTTAAAAACTATACTTTTGTGTTTCTGACAGAGTGGTTTTGTATCACGCTTTGGACAGAAGCAGGACTTGGAAGGCCAGTTGAAGAAAGCCTGTTGGTGGACACTGCTGGCACTGGCCATAGGCATCCTCACCTACTTCTTGTTGAAAAGAATGGCTTAGTCAATACTGCCACCTAGTGACTACAGGCAGAAACTCTGCAAGAGTGGGCTGCCATAGGAAAAATGCTGGAATAGAGTCGACCTCTATAGAAACTGTACATCAGTATTGCTCACGTATCACATACAACTTGTAATTCACATCTGTTCTGGAGGTCAGATGTACAAACTTGTGATGTATTTAAGCCATTCCAGGTCACATGCTGGTGAAAACCGAAAGCTAACAATGTTGTTTGTGCAGCAGTATGTGAACTTTGATCAGGTATTATAAATTAATCTTTGCCATTGTAAGCTGCGCACCAAGGTTACATGTAGTCAGTGGAAAGTACCTAGTAGATCAGGCTTAAGCGCACTAAACTTTATGGTTCATTGAAGCTTTTGAGGTGCTCAGTTTGCTGTATATGGCCCTATAGGCACATCAGGTTTAACAGTTGTCATTTTGAACTTATTCAAGAGGACTACACAAGAAATGCTATGTTAAGCAGGATACTTCTGCAGCATTTATTCCAAGCAATGACTCTTTCAGTAGAAGTGTTGTTACAGCTACACTTTATGTACAGTGTAGTAGAGCACTCAAAATTATACCACTTTACTTAAAACATGATTCTAAGTTAATTTAAGAGGATATAAAATCATTAAAAACACAACAAACTTCAGTTATGCTGTGGAACTTTTATTCAGAACACAGAAAACTTGACGACGAGGGGTTACAAATGGAAAAACTGAACAGTGGAACTTTGGAAGAACAATTAAACAATAAATTTAGGCCAGGTCATCATCAGCCTCCTCCTCAAACTCTCCCTCTTCCTCAGCAGTGGCATCCTGGTACTGTTGGTACTCAGACACCAGGTCGTTCATGTTGCTCTCAGCCTCAGTGAACTCCATCTCATCCATACCCTCACCAGTGTACCAGTGGAGGAAAGCTTTGCGCCTGAACATAGCAGTGAACTGCTCTGAGATGCGCTTGAACAGCTCCTGGATTGCAGTGCTGTTGCCGATGAAGGTGGCAGCCATCTTGAGGCCACGAGGAGGAATGTCACAGACGGCGGTCTTGACATTGTTGGGGATCCATTCAACAAAGTAGCTGCTGTTCTTGTTCTGCACATTCAGCATCTGCTCATCCACCTCCTTCATGGACATGCGGCCACGGAAGATGGCAGCCACCGTCAGGTAGCGGCCATGACGTGGATCACAGGCAGCCATCATGTTCTTGGCGTCAAACATCTGCTGGGTGAGTTCTGGCACAGTAAGTGATCTGTACTGTTGGCTGCCTCTGCTTGTGAGGGGGGCAAACCCTGGCATGAAGAAGTGCAGACGAGGGAATGGCACCATGTTTACAGCCAGCTTGCGCAGGTCAGCATTGAGCTGCCCAGGGAACCTGAGGCAGGTGGTGACACCGCTCATGGTTGCAGACACCAAGTGGTTGAGGTCACCGTATGAGGGGGTTGTAAGTTTGAGGGTGCGGAAACAGATGTCGTAGAGGGCCTCATTGTCAATGCAATAGGTCTCATCTGTGTTTTCGACCAGCTGATGGACTGATAGCGTAGCATTGTAGGGCTCAACAACTGTGTCTGACACTTTTGGGGAAGGCACCACGCTGAAGGTGTTCATGATGCGGTCGGGGTATTCTTCACGGATCTTGCTGATGAGCAGGGTACCCATACCAGAGCCTGTACCACCACCCAGAGAATGTGTGAGCTGGAAGCCTTGCAGGCAGTCACAGCTCTCTGCCTCCTTCCTCACCACATCCAGGACAGAGTCCACCAGCTCTGCACCCTCTGTGTAGTGGCCCTTGGCCCAGTTGTTGCCAGCACCACTCTGGCCTGGAAAACAAGAATCCAGATTCAATTTCACCATACATAAGATTTTTTCCCTCTTTAATCTGCACATAAGAAAAATAACTCACCAAAAACAAAGTTGTCTGGCCTGAAGACCTGGCCGAAAGGTCCGGACCTCACAGAGTCCATAGTGCCTGGCTCCAAATCCACGAGCACAGCGCGGGGCACGTACTTACCACCTACAAAAAGCAGGCAATAGGTAAGGAAAAAATAAAAAAATAAAATTCAAGAAGGAGGGGGGAGCAATAAAGTCTGAGTTTTCCAGTATAAAGTGTTTTACTTACCAGAGGCTTCATTGTAATAGACATTGATCCTGTCCAGCTGCAGGTCACTGTCACCATGGTAAGTACCAGTTGGGTCAATACCATGCTCATCACTGATCACCTCCCAAAACTGTAAAACACAAATTATACAAACCTTTGTTAGCTCTAAAGAGAAATAGACTAGGTAATATTAAGAGTATAGTCTTTCAATGTGCCCGGTCCTAGTTTATGTATCAGTTGGTTTATAAATAGCATTTAAAATAAAGTCAGTTGACTTAATTTCCCGCCGTGCTGCTATAGGCGCGCGCGCCCTCACCCCCTATTGGCTGCAGTGGTTATGAATTTGAAAATTCTTTACTACGTCACTAACCGCCTTGTCCAGACAGAAGCCGGGCGCCGCTCAATAAGCGCTGCCAAGTAGGCCTCAATGAACCGGGAACAGCGTTACAAAATCTGCATACAATTACCGTTAACGACGATAAAAAAAACAAAAAAAAAAAACGTTTCACCCATAGACAGCCTAACACATCGACAATTTACCACTGCATTGCCAGGGTTTCTTTTGAGTCTTTTTTTTAGCCAATAAGTCAAGTTACTTCCTTTTGTCGCATTGCTGGGTATTCATCTGGCGAAAGAACAATGCTGATTTTTAGCCAAAGCTAGTTTGCCACTATATATACAAACACATGTTCCCGAATGTTATCTTTGCTTTAATATCAAAGAGTTTTTTTTTAAAATTACTACAAAGACTAGGCTAAATTACAAGGACATAAAATTAAACATGCCCATTTTGTTTTAATAGTTTTTATTCGCTTATACATCGGCATAATCCGCATGTATAAACGTCTTTAAAATGTAGCAGCCATTAAAGTAACGGTTCGAATGCAATTTACAAAAGTAGGACACGTTGATATTCCCAGGGTGTGGTTTCTGGGACGACACCGGCCACAAAGAACACGGTGTTTCTTAGTATAACAGCTCAGCTAAGACTTTAAAACACAAACGTAATTCTACCTACCTTGGCACCAATCTGGTTACCGCACTGTCCAGCTTGAAGATGCACGATTTCCCTCATATTTACTGGAGGTAGAACACACACAAATATTCAGACGGCTTAAGCTTTCTTGAAGTGGGTGCGTAACGGCTCAACGCTGTCTTTTATACTGTGACAGGATCCGCCCTTTTCTCCACAGCTCAAATCTCTATTGGCTATTACGTCCGACCACCCTTTACAGACACACGTTTTGACCAATCAGATGTTCAAATACTGATCGGCGATTGGCCCAATCCGTCTGCCAATCACTCTCATCTGAAACGTGTGACTAATGTCAAATCTGTGGACGCTGGCCTACTTCCCTCGTGATGGCGGAATGGAAATGCGACACGAGAGTGATCTTATTCTGCATTTCATAGCCACGCGTTTACACTGTTTAAATAACGAAATGGGTTGAATTGGCGATCAAAAAAAATGTTTGTGTTAATGAACTACACTCGCTGTGTTAATAAAATAGTCTCGCTTCAGTCCACGTGGCTCACAAACAACACAATGGCTCAGTTTCGCAGAAATTTTCCTGGCGGAAGCGGTTGCAGCAGGACTGACTCGCCCCGAATGGCTACAGCAGTGATTTTCAGTCATGTGTTTCTCAGGCCGGGGAGTCTGCAGCTTTTCACTCCACCCGATTACAGCAGTACATTTCTCAGATTATTTCCCCTTTCTGTGGTGCAGTGCGTGGTAATGAGCTGGCGAGTAGGATGAAAAGCTGCATTCTTGTCGTTCATGGTGCTTGGTTGAAACCGTTAGGCATCGTGTGTACAGACACTGTCTTAATAAATGAAGGTGGATTAATGTCAAAGTAAAGAGTACAATCCTCCTCTGTACTGGGAGACATTTACATTTTAACTAAGAACCAGTGAATAGAAGCCTGTATGGTTATCAGCAAGGCAGAAAACCATGAAAGAGCCCTGTACAGTACATCAAACCTAGTCCAAATTTTGTAACGGTCTTTCCTTCCTTTAACCTGTAAGTACGTGTTTTATACATCTGAGATGTTTTTGATTCTAAAAAGCAATTAATGAAAAGATTTAGTTTTAGTGATAAGGTTTAAACAGAATAATGTCCAGAAGCTCGCTCAGACACATGCTGTCGTGTAAGGTTCTGGCCACTAAAGCAGTGTTGTGGAATGAGGACAGATGGCTTTATTAATAGTTAATCTGAAATGCCAGGAGAGAATGTGGCTGTGACTCCTGCATGGTGTATTTGCCACAGCCATGTCTGCAAGGACTGTAGGGGGAGACATCACTATGGTGCTTGTTGCCATGACAATTAGGTTCTCCCATTGGGTGTTGTAGTCTTCTGTGTGTTAGTACAGGCAGAGCTTTAAATAAGCTTTTCATGGGCATACCCAGCCATTAGCTTGGTAAGAATGCATACCATGCATTTTTATGTAGATTAGTTCTTGTGTGGACTAGTAAAGTCTCATGAAATTGAAATACTGTTATTCTGCATTTGTATTCACTCACCCTGGGCCTACATGTTCTTACAGACCCACCATTGCTATGCTTATCATATACAGTATGTAGGTCATGTTCATAGTCTCTTCTATGTGTGCATTGTAATCTCACACACAAAGGCCCTCTCTGTTTGCTCCCTGACAGAGCTATGTCACAGTGAGGATGAGTCAGGATAGATGCAAATAAGCATCTAGCTTCCCGTCTCTGCACTGGGCCTTGTTTTTTTTTAGGTGTGCTTGCTGTATTTTGTTGGGGCAGATAAAGTTGGATGCACTGAGACCAGTGCTCAACCAGCGTTATGTTTTACACGTCTATGTGATGTAAATGTTGTTACATCCTCAAGTATGGGTATGGGTGAACGGGCAGACACAAATTTTTGGCTCTTTTGCAAACATCTAGGACAATCCTACAATGGAACAAACACGCAAGGTAGTTGCTGATTTGCTGTACATGGATGTAAAGGAATCCTCCAATCAGACTAGATCATGGAAAAATAACTATACCTATGCATAATCACATTCATGTTCAGTATAAGTATATTACATTGATGACCGGCTTCATATTTAAGCAGTGTTATGTTGCTTTATAATGTCAGTTGCATCCCTGTGGTAACATCACAAAATGTGTAGCATAATGCAAATTGACTGTATATAAATGCAGTTTTGCAGAGGTTGTGCACATTTACATACTTTGTACCTGTTGTGATCAAGTGTGACAACTGAAATAAAACAACAAACACCCAAATTATCTTTTGCTTTTAGAGAGGAGCAGTGCAGAGTTTCTTTTGCCACAAAACCAAAACCAAATATAGCATTCATCATGTACCTGTAACCAAAGTTTGTGTACAGTAAACTTAATATTTATATACTCAATTCAGTTCAATTCAATTTTATTTGTATAGCACAGTTTACAACATATACCATCTCACAGTGCTTAACATAGTAAGGTACAGACCTTACAATTTTTAAACAGAGAACCCAACAATCCAAAAATGCCTTTGGACTCCCTCTGAACAAGCTGTCAGCAACGTTGGAAAGGAACCAAATTACACCTATATATCTGGGCCTTGGTGTTTGCACAATTCATGTGTATGGAATGATGTTTAATCAGCAGAACATGTAGATCAAAGATGTCCCTTTATTGCCGTTTCATGGACTTCCATT